AAAAGAAGTAACACATGTAAACTAAATAAAGCACGTTAGGCAAGGCCTAGCTAGTTGGAAAAAAAAAAAAAAAAAAATTAATTTCTAAAGTATTGATTTATGGAGAAAGGTTCTATTGTAGTTATTATTTTTTTATTTTTTTTTATTTTTTTATTTGTTTTTATGATTTTTACTTTTTTATTTATTTTTATTTATTTTTTTTTGAATTATTTATTTATTTTTTTATTTAAATATACAATATAATATAAATATAATATAATAAAAAAAAAATACATAAAATATCTTGTTTAATACTTATTATATAAATTGGCATTTCATTAAACTCATTAAATAACATGTTTTTCTTAACTTATATCAGGTATAACTATCAAAAAAAGTTGTTCGTGCAGGTGTCATATAACAGGTAAAGATTTTTAATACAAGAATTAACAATGTATCTGCTAATGATATAAATATATGTATACAGTATATACAATATGTATATCAAAAAATATATAATGTATAATAAAAATAAACAAATAATAATATTTTTTATTTATTTTTATATCATAAATTTTGAAAATACTTGATTTATAATCAAAAAAAAATCAATAAAAAGATTTTTGTGCATTTATATTTTATTGAATTTCCAATTATTTGTAAGTAACGATATGATATTAAGTGGTTAAGAGTAAACTATTATTTGTTAGAATTAATGGTCAAAAGAAGAAAATAGATTTTAAATCATGATATATAATAATTATGAAGAAGAAATATAGGTTTTAAAAAATAACAATAGTGATAGTAAGAATTAATTGATCTAACCTTTTGAACAATTCAAGATTATCAGATCGCCAAATAATGCATACCTTTTATTAAACTAACATAATTATTAATAAATTTATAAATACATGTTTTTTTTTGTTTTTTTTAAAAAAAAAAGAATCATGCAATCCGATCGTGAAAATTGTTTATTTTGATACCCATGGTGAATTATAGAAAATTATGTATTGTGAAAAGAATGACATACGTTCCATTTGAATACAATGTCACTTCTAATTGATATTAGCTGTATGAAAGTTTGTAAATATTATTAACAATAAACATCACACCAAAGATTAAATTTATCACGTTCTTGTGAAACTGTCTTGCCTGCATTTTAAAGTAATTAAGAAATCCTAGTGAAGAAAGAAAGTAATAAATTTATTACCACGGCGCATCCATTATTTCCATGTAAATTCCATCGCCGCTAAAAAAGTAATTATTTTATAGACCGGCCTCTTTATTAACGTTTGTCTTCATCATTTCGTTATCAAGGTCTACATTTCTTGTGGAGTTATTAGCTTTCGAATGACGTCGTCCGTAAAACACATAAACCAACAGCCCAATCGCCATCCAAATGAACAATCTTATGATGCTATTTCTTGATGCGGTCGCCAACAGGAGTAGATTTAATGAAGCTCCTGTGATTGGTATGAAAACCGGACCTCCCGGAACTTTGAACTTTCTTGGAGCATCAGGTGCAATTAGACGTAATACCATGACTCCAATGTTAACGAAGAAGAATGCAAGCAAGGTGCCAACGGATGTAAGTTCTGAAAGAATATCAATGGGAAACAGTGCAGCCGTTATAGCACAAACGGTACCGCAAAGTATGGTGGTAAGATATGGAGTTTGGAAACGAGGATGGATCCTAGATCCTAAGGATGGGAGAAACAGTCCATCACTGGAAGAAAAAATAATCAATACTTTTTTAGTTTCCAAATTTTGAACAGATGTAACGAAATGGTAAGATACTTGCTTTGCCATCGCCAAGAAAATACGTGGTTGGCCCATCAAAGACACAAGAATTACGGATATCAAACCACACACTGCACCAAGGTCTACTATTATTCCAAGCCATTTCATTCCCGTCATGTCGGCAGCTACCGCAAGTGGAGCAGGACTCGCAAGCAGTCGATATGGCACAACACCTACTAGTACGAGCCTATGTAAAAATAAAACCAAATCAAATCATTAGTGGTCAATCAATAGACGATAAAAAAGAAAAAGAAATCATATATAGATTGTTGCTAGTAAAAAGAGGAAACATACGAAACAGCAACGTAAACAACCGAGACAATGGCGAAGCTGGTCATAATGGCAATCGGAACATCTCTCTGCGGATTCTTTGTCTCTTGCGCAGTTGTTGAAATTGAGTCGAACCCGATGAACGCAAAGAATACTACACTAGTACCGGCCAAAACACCAGTGAAACCAAATCTCGAGAATGTACCTTCGTTTTCTGGAATGAATGGTTTGTAGTTGTCCGGATTCACACGCGTCCCAGCGGCTATGCAAAAGATTATTATCACTAAAAGTTTTATGCTGACAACTGTGGTGTTTACTCTAGCAGATTCTTTAATTCCTATTGTCAACAGTATAGTGAGAAAAATCACAACCAAGAAAGCTGGCACGTTGAAATAGGCATTAGGGACAATATGAAATTGGCCTAATGCGATATCGTATTTCACGGGAGCACTGGTCCAAGATTTCGAGAGTATCACACCACAATCAGCAAAGAAACTGACGAAGTAGCCCGACCAACCTTTGATATGAAAGAAAAATTAACATTGTTGAAATTCTTAAATAAAAACTCGGGGGCATACCAACGGCAACTGCAGCGGCACCGACTAAATATTCCAAGATTAAGTCCCAACCAATTATCCAGGCGATAAGTTCACCCATTGTTGCATATACAAATGTATAAGATGAACCTGAAATCGGGATCATGGAAGTCAACTCGCAGTAGGATAGAGCCGCGAAACTGGCAGTAACTCCAGCCAATAAGAATGAAATGACCACGGCCGGTCCAGACTTTGTAGCAGCAGCTTCACCTGTTTAAAACAATGAGTTTGTCTCCTGGAAACTTTCGTGAGGACACAATTTTGAACTTACCAGTTAACACAAATATACCGCTGCCAATTATCGCACCCAAACTGATCATTATTAAATCATAAAGATTTAGAGTTTTGGCAAGATTGGAATTTTGCCTATCCTCATCTAGGCTTGTTAGAGTTTTTAGCGTAAACAACTTTCGAATGTGATATTTCCACTTGCTTTCACCGGGCTGTCTTGGGGCACCGGAAGTCAGAAAGCTGTATCCCGACATTGTAAACTATTGCCGTATTGTTAGTTAGTTAATATTGACAGCTTTATAGGATTTTGTGGAAAGACAATTAAGTGCGTATTGGAAACTTTGAATTCTTATAAATAGAAATCATGCATGATCGCATGGCCTGAGATGTAACTTTAAATATATGAATTGAATGTATTTGGAAAACTATGGGTACGGTAATTTTTTTTTTTTTTATTTCATTAAGGGGTGAAACGTTACGTTGCTTCTTAAAGTAAATGAAAGTAAATGACGGTAGCAGTTGAAGAAAACTTGTCGCACAATACCGAAAATTAACTCGGGATACTTTTGTGTCAGAATTTCGTAATTCTGAATGATTCTAAAATTATGTACTCAACGAGACAGAGTTAAGATCATGTGAAATCAATGATGGTAAGGAACATTTAATACAGTATTTATGTAAAAATTAAGGGGCGAGAAAAAAATTTTTCCACCCACACTTTCATATAATGAGCATTTTCTCGCCACTTATACCTGAACGAATCCGGCTCAATCAATTTTTTTTGCTTTACAAATGTAACTGGTTTTTACTCGTGCTCCTTCGAACATGGCTTATGTAAACCAGAAATTTATTATAGCTAATTATTGCTTCAGCCCGATCATGCCAAATCCGAATTTTTTGTTCGCGATCCTTCAAACGCTATAAAAAGTCACTGTCTATAATAAAATGATTATTATTGTTTTGTCTTTTTAAGATTAATTAAATTAACATCAAAATATTGTGTAGCAGAAAATATGCCTCGTTTGTCTGTTTTGAAGATCCTTTCTACCATGGGTATTTTTGCCAAACAAACAAAACAGCGATTCTATTTGTAACACGGCGTTCTCGTCAATGCATGGCAGCGCACAGGGAGGTGATACTGCACTGTATGTAACCAACCATTTATGTTGATTATTTTATTTCACTTTCTAACTATTTTAGTAGTGAATTTCGTGCGTCACCAAAAGACCATAATTTATCAGCTTGTTTGAGATCAATCAATTACATATAAAATAATGCGATTAATTTACAACATAACCATATACTACAGTATAAAAGATCATAAGTGTAAGAATTATGCTTGTTTCGATCAATTTATCAAAATGATCTTTTAAAAAAAATTTATTATACTGTACTGTATATACAGTATAACTTATTGATATTTCTTTAATTTTGTATAAAATTCAAATTACTTTGATGTTTATCATAAATAAAATTTATTTTCGAATATTTTATGTTATAAAATATTTTTTTGGTATCAAATTCAATAAAATTTATTTATTTATTTATTTATTTAAGATTTTTGAGAATACATTATAATTAAATTTCAAAAATTATTTTTTAACTTTACAAATATAATTTTATATTTAAAGAAATTAAAATTTTTTTATTTTTTTTGTATCAAAAGAGTGTATAATCAAGATAAAAAAACAAAAAAATTTTTTTGATTATTTATGTTATAATAATTTTTAAATAACACGTTTTAATAAATTTTTAAAATTAATAAAATAAATTATTTTATGACAAATTTGAAATTAAAATAGTTAAATTTTTCTTTGTAAACTTGTAATATCTTAAATCATGTCATTATAAATAAACTCAATAAACTTTATAAACTTTCCATGCTATTGAAAGTAGCTAGTCTTGTGTTTCAAATATGTATGACTTTATAAAATTTAACAAATACTTTATGAAAACAGACAATAATAACATTAATAATTGGAACAATTCACCCTAATAAAGATGATTCCTTTATTTGCATTTAAATTTTGAAATTCTCATGGAGTCCTTTCAAAATTCTGAATTCCTTAACAAAAATTCAGACAAGAATTTAAAAGTGAATTATTACGACCTCTCGTCTGAATCTGGTTGATACTTTATTTTGAGTAATAAAATGTTAAACAGACAATATTTACTTACCCTTGATATTCAGTTTCTAGTAAACAACGGAACGTCCATTTCATCAGTTCTTCTGTATGTAGAAGGTAATAGACCTGTAACATATATATATGTGTGTGTTAAATAACCGGACACAAGTTTTATGAACTGTCAATTCCTATTATTAATATTACCAAAAGAACGAGCACGTTTGATAGCTTTGGCCAACTTTCGCTGATTTTTTGCCGTCAATCCTACAAAATAAATGTATGAACAACAGAAACCTAATTTAATTATGCTTATAACAAAAGATATAGTGAAACTTGAAATCATACCCGTTTGCCTTCGTGGAAGAATTTTACCCATATCTGAAACAAAGTTTGATAGTAAACTAAAATTCTTTTTTTTTTTTGGCGCAATACGAAAAGGGAATTAGAACAATGTTCATTCATGAATAAAAAGACGATCATAAATTTCGGAAATTAACCTTACCTTATATTCTACCAAAGGGTTAATATCCAACCTTTGAAATATATCAACATTGGGAACCGCTTTTCTATATCTAGTGGGCTTTTTATTCTTGTAATTTTCTTCGTTCAGATCATGTGGAGCATAAATCTAAATTCAAAAATCTATTCAGTTGTGGATTGTCCCCTTCGAAGAACATCGTGAACTATATAGTTAACTACCTCACCGGACCGAAAAATTCTTCCATATTTGATCTGAGAGTTAGCTGCCGTCCTTGGACTATCTGATTTAAAAATTCGAACTCAATTAAAGAGGTGTGTAAAATAACATTAATAGATATACGATTATTGATATTTACTCATGGCTGATGATTCTCTAAGAATTTGCATAATCTTTGAATGAGGATCAAGGGCATCATTGGACTCTGAAACATTGACAATTAATTCGTAAACTACTTTCGAGCCGAATTCATTGAAAATTAATTAGACACTAACTAATTTCCTGGTTGCTAAATCGAGGTTGTGACGAACTCTGTCGAATAATTTGTGTTCCTTTGGTACATTGAAAATACGTTGCACTAACTGCTGTTCGGAACCCTGTCGGCAAAGCAGCTAATAGTCTATGAATTTTTGTGAAGGACATAGAAAAACATTCAAAAATCATCAGTGTACATATTTATATACCGTACGTGATAATCTGTGATTGTACCACCATTACTCCATGTTGATACTATATATCTTTAATTACAAAATACCAGTTGATTATAAGCATGAGTAAAAAATCATTGAAAAGGATGCCACTATCATGGCCATCCGAAGTCGAGTATCTGATTGATAACACTTATGAACCTTCATCGTTGGAACCTCATCCCTACACCTTTCCATTATCAAATGATCATCCAATTCATCCATTTACTTCGTCTCCATTACTTCCAGTCGCTTCTGATCCCCACATGCCAAGTACATTAGTAAAAATAAAGTCCCTGGAAAATGTAAAATCGCTGAATGGTCAAACAAATCATCCGGCATATCCGGGTTACGGATTATTTGCAACAAAAGATCTCAAGGAACAAACTCTTATTCTGAAATACACTGGTGTCGTTACATCTACAAAAAACGAAAGTGTGGAATGCAATGGAAAAGGCAGCGATTACGAATTGAGCTTTAACGGACGTTATTGCATCGACGGATTAAAGAAGGGAAGTGAAGCGAGGTTTATTAATGATTATCGTGGTGTTCTCACAAAGCCGAATGCGATATTTCATGAATACATTGATCTACACAGTGGACAGGTGAAAATGGGTGTCTGGGTGAGACGGGGTGTGGTGAAAATCCGGAAGGGTGAAGAAATTATGGTTAGCTATGGAAAAAGTTTCTGGAGGGAAAGAGGAAAATTAAATGATTAAAGCGTAATAAATTTAATTACTATTTATAGAAATAAAAAATAAATTTTTTATAATAATACATATAAATATAATCTAAAAGTATATTTATAATACATTCAATAATTTCTTATCCAATAATTGATTTTTGAATCAAAATTTCATCCATGTAATTAACATCATTAAAATAAATTAACCATTCAAACTTTTTTATTAATCAAATTATAAACTAAATAAGATTAATTATAGAATAAAATATTTTTTTATTTGTACAAATAATTTATTTAAAAAAATAATATAGGTACTATTTATTTTGTATTGTATATTGCAAGATAAAACTTTTTTAAAAAATAATATTTTTTATTATATATAATAGTAAGTTACAGTATATACCGACATATTTATAAAATTGTTTAATTTATATTGAAAAAAAAATTTAATTAATATAATAACTATAATATCAAATAGCTATAAATATTTATTTTAAAATTATATAAATTATTAAAATTATTTGAATAAAAATTTCAGTAATAAATAAAAAAAAATATTTAAAATATTTTTAAATTAATCTATAATTATAGCTATCTTATATATAACTTTTTATAATAATATAATCAAAAAACTTAAATTTAAATTAAATGATTTAAACTAATAATAAACTTTCTATTTTTTTAATAAATATTACTTGATATATTAGCTTATTTACTTAATATTAATTATTATAATTGAATTATAAAGATATTAAATATAAATTAATCTAAAGAAACTATATAAATATTAATTTATAAAAAAAAACTTATTCCTAATCTCTTTGTATTTAAAAAAATTACTATAAAAGGAAATACAAAATTTTTTTGCAAAAAAAAACTGTTAAAGATTCTAAAGAATCCTTTATATCCTCTAAATATCAAGTATCATATTATGTGAACTAAAATATCCTGGATATTTTATAAATTAATTTAAATAAACAGATATTATAGTTAAGGGGATACTATGATTAAAGTAGAGAGTATTATAGTAAGAAATATAAATTATATAAAAAAGATTAAAAATGTGTTTTGCATTAATCATGTTTTAATTATGTTTTAATCATGTTTTAATCAAGTTTTAATCAATAATGCCTATTAGAGCTAGTAAAAGTTTTAAAAGAGTACATATTACTACAAAATCACATCATTCTTGGACTGCTCGAGAAAAATTACTTATTATTCATTATACTAAAAAATTCTAAAATAATCATAAAACTGCAAGAAAGTTTGATATTCAATTGAAACAAGTTTATGAGTGAAAAAATCAAAAATTACAATTACAAGCTATTTCTTCTTTTATTCAAAAACTTCATTTAAGCAAAGAACCCCACTTATTACTTTTAGAAAATGAATTATATAATTTATTATTAATATGAAAAATAATACCAAGGCTATTATTCAAAGAAGTGTAACTAGAAAGCTAAAACTTTAACTACAAAACAATATTATCAAGATTTATATCCAAAAATTCAAAATTTTAAATTTTCTAATAAGTGGCTTGATGATTTTATACATAGACAAAAACTTTCTAACCATTATCATACCAATATAGCTCAACATTTACCAGAAGAGTTAAATAAAAAACAATAAAATTTTTTAAGTTTTGTATTATATTGTCAAATTCAGTATAATTACAAATTACAATTTATTGAAAATATGGATAAAACTTCTATAAGCTTTAATTTTCTCTATAGTACTACTCTTGATTTTATCAGCACACATACAATTAGTATTCAAACAACTGATCACGAAAGAACAAATTTTACTGTTGTACTCATATGCATAACTAATGATATGAAATTACCTCTTGTATATATTTTTAAATTAAAAAATAAGTTGTGAGAAAATTTCCCTTCTGATGTAAAAATTCAATTTAATGAAAAAGAATATATAAATAAACAAATGATGCTATAGTGAGTGAATAATGTCTGGATAACTAGAAACATGCTTGGAAATTCAAATCTCTTTTAATAATGGATTTATTTTGAAACTATTTGATAGATTCAGTAAAAAATCATCTTATAGAAAAAGCAACAAATATTGTTATTATTCCTGGAGATCTTATTTCTAAAGTTCAACTATTGGATATTGTAATTAATAAGAGTTTTAAAGTGAAGATAAATTATATTTTATTATATTAACTTTAAACATTAATTACTTTAATTAAAAAAACATTATTAATTATTTAAATTCATAAATATTATAATAACTGGATGAATCAGAATGATTTAATATATATTGCAATGGGTCAAATTAAAAAATCTAGCTATACTACATTAGTAGAATGGATTAGTTATATATGGTCAGATATAAATTTAGGTTAATAACTTGATCATTTAAATATTATAAAATTTTAGTTGCTAAAGATGATAATATTATAGATAGGGAAGAAAATATTTTTAGTAATAATAACTTTGATATTAATAAAGAATTAAACTATGAAGAACAACCGAAATATGATATTGATTGGAAATAAAAAAGAATTATAAATGTTGTTTTTTTTATTTTTATTTTTGTTTTTGATATATAGTATACATATATTATATATAGATAATAGAATAAATAAATTAATTAATACAAAGAATCTTTGATATCAGATTTTTATAAAAGAATATTTTATATTAAAAAAGCAAACTTATAAATTCTTTTTTCTTACTATATTTGTTTCTTCTAACTCATTTTTGCAAAACCCATAAGTAAAAAAAAAAACAATTATAACCACATATTTTATATTATAATAATTATTTAAAATCTTCATTTGGATTTATTTTTTCTAAATCATTTCTTAATTATACTTTCCTATATACATTTATTTCTTTTAATCTATTTATTTTCTTTATCATCGATTTTGTTTTCTCATATACTTATATTTATTCACAACTTATTTATAATTCATTCCTTTTAACCTATATCTATCTACTTTATATTACCTATTCATTTTATTTCTTTCTTTCATTTACATTTATCTACTACTATTAATAATGTTTAACTCTATTATAATTTGATTGATCTCTATACATAAAAACCATTTGATAAAATTGATAATAAATTATTACTAATAGAAGATAATATTGGAGATATGGTTATTTCTAGAAAAATTAGTGAAGAATATTATAATTAATAACTTTTTAAGAGACAAAATACCTTGTGACCACTTAATCGCATTGCATTTAGTAATCTTTCAAAATTCTCCAAAGTATCTGCATTTTTATTAATAATTTTAAAATAATATCCCAACTCTTGTTAATATTGATTCATAAATATTGATATATTCAAAACCAAAAGGAAGAAAGTCTTGATATCAGTGTATGTACCAGAATTGCATATTTATAGTTCTTTATATTTTCCAAATAACTTCATTTAACTAATTTTTATAATTATATAATAGATTTGATTGCATACCTGAAATCTAACAAGGATCATGAAAAAATAGAAATGGTGGTTAATAGTGTAAGAAAATTGATCAGAAGTAAAATAGGATTTATAATGGAACAGGGTAAATTATAAATATCTATTGTATACAATCAATACTAGCAGCAAATAAAAAAAGAAATAATGCTAGCTTTTCGAATGACAACATGAAGGAACTAGTCAGAATCCTTATCAGCTTGCAGGATAACTTTGATATGAAAGGGTTTGAGGAAAGCAGGACGTGTTGACAGCTTTCTCGTATGGAAGTTCAAAGACTATTGTGATATAAGTATGAGTCTCAAATCTTATCAGATTCAATTTATATAATTTGCTATAACAAAGCACGAAAATTCTTTTGGAATTCTAGATACAGTATATTAACATTCAAAATTGTAAAACATCATCAAGATCAGATCACCAGAAAAAATATTGTTTTCAAAAAGAATAGACATGAAATGTAAATAAAGAAGTATTTAAATTGCTATGACAAAAATCACTATACTTATCAAAAAAACCAATAATTACTAAAAATCTATTCGATGCATATTGTATATACAGTTATATTGAAGTGACATTCTATTTTAAACAATATAAATTTTGGTTTTTTGTAACTATATATGCCAGTCATATTTCACAACTCTAAAATCGAGGATACATTATTTCTGTGAGGTATTTTATATTTTAAATACTTTTATTTTTCAATTTGTTATGTTCAATACCCCAGGTATAATATATTCTAAACCTTGAAAAATCATAAGGGGTATTATATTGTGGAGAGTATTTTAGTCCACGCAGTATGGTACTCTAACATTATTATATAG